AGCGAAATAGAGGCAGATAGAGAGAGAATGTGTGTGAGAGTGTGTATGTGTGTGTGTATGTGTGTGTGTGTGTGTGTGTGTGTGTGTGTGTGTGTGTGTGTGTATGTGTGTGGTATCCGGTAAGCGTATCCTTTAACGACAACACATTATTGTCTCATAATGAGCCGTTGGTAGACGCTCTAACATAGGCTGCTTCTTCTTCAGCTACTTGTAATGAAACTGTTATTCTAAGTTGTCCATGAGTAAATGTGACCACTATTGTAGTGAATCTTGGTAAACTGCAATAAGGAGAACTCGCTTTTCCACCTTTCCTCGAGTTTAACTGTACTTGCAGATGTGTATTATTCGTTCGTAATTCGTTTGTTTGTATGAGTAAAGAGATACACATCAGATATCAACGTAATGGCGTCCATACAGTGCATGAATAATCAAGATAGCCATACAGAAGAGTATACGAAAAGAAAGGAAGTAGGACATAGATATTATCAATGACGCCTCACGTACATTCGCCTCGTTTGTAAGAACGTGTGTAAGTCTTTGTTATTTAAATTGCCGCCGTGGTTGCTATTTACTCTCAGGTGGAAGCCATATTTTAATGAATATATCACACACACGTTCTTTTTCGGGTGGCTTGTTGGCGCCCTGAGTGCACTGGTCTTCTCTGAGCTTTTGATTTTTTTTTTTTTATTCTGTCAGAGTCACTATTTCCATAAAGTGTAGCTTGCGAAATTCTGCCAGTGTCGTGCTCACTCGTCATAAGCTACTATGCCTTAATAATATGCTACCGTCTTTTGCGTCAGCTGTTATATGCAGTGCCTTTTGAAACTATTTGTGTGGATAGTTAGCTGGTGCTCTGATGTGGTTTGCTCCTGATTTCCTATCAAATATTTATCGTTCTTATCTCTCCATTTTCTTGTGTGTGTGTGTGTGTGTGTGTGTGTGTGTGTGTGTGTGTGTGTGTGTGTTTTAGGTGTTAAAAGAGAGTGTCATACAAAGAAAAGACCGGAGAGAGAAAAGGACAATAGATGTTTGATAGGAAAAAGGGAGAAACCAAACCAGAGCAACCCCGCCAACTACCCACTATTAGAGTCTAGATTCTCTGTCAATACAGTAACATAACAATACACAGACGTATCATATATACCCGTTGTTGCTCATGGTCAGAATGAAAAGCCTCCATTTCTTTTTCCGGCCAGGAAGATCGAAACGTTTCCTAGGTTGTGACAGATCTTGACGCCAACTTAAGGTGTACAAACTAGTGTTTCCCAGGTCATGAACACACAGCTTACAGTTATATAAGTACCTACGTCAGCATTGTAGTTTTCCTTTAAGTCCATATGTCAACGATTTTGCTGCATCAATACCTGCTTTGTACTTTTCCCAACAGTCGGCGTATTTTTCACGTCAGGAAAATGTTGACTCCAGTCCGCAAAGAAAACGAAAGCTAAAGACACCATTGTTAGAATGTTCCCTCTGAATAAGTATATGTGCTGACGCTTTATGGCGGGTGCCCGCGATGGTGATTACGGTGTTCGTATGTGTGTGTAAGTGTATGTAAGCGTGTTTCGATGCGCGTGCGTAAGTGGGTTTTGTATGTGTGTGTGCGCGTGTGTGTTTATGTGTGTGTGTG